CGGAGCGCGGCCGGGCGGTGGGGGCAGCCGGCGGCAGCACCGCGGCCCCGGAGGGTCCGCAGGGGCAGGGACTGAGGAGCTGTAGCGGGGCTGCCCAGCCATGAGTAACTCCCCACTGCCGTGCGTGTGTGTACATATTTATATTATATACACATAAAATGAGTGGAAACTCTCGGTGTGAGGCAGGGACGTTCACTTTTCTTTCTGTCCCTGTGTCTTGACATGAAGAAGATCAGTTGCTAAACTGTTGCCTAATCAAGTCAGGCGTGACACAACAGCAAACTTGTTTCAGAGACCGAGTTTCCTGTTGGAAATCAATTTTCCTCTGGGTAACAGCATTTGGGAAGCTGGAAGGCAGCAGAAAATGGTTCGGGAATGATGTGGGATGTCAGAAAGCTTAAGGTCAACCAGCGTGCACAGAGGTTGTGAACTGTAATTGCTCTTAATGCTGTTTAAGATTAACCTCAATGGTTATTGGGGTTTATTGCATCAGCACCAGAGGAAAAGGAATTCATATGAAGAAACAAAACCAAGAGGCACAGTCAGCCATCTGCAGCTAAGCAAAAAAGACAAGACTGAAAGTAGTCACTTTTAATATCAACATTAAACAGGAATATCCTTAAATAATAGAAATGCACAGCCAGGAAGTATGTCCTGAAATTAAAATATTGTCAGACGAGATGTAAAAGTTCACTGTAGATGGAAAGAATCATCAGCAGAAGAACAAACAAAAAACAGTGGGAGAACAAATGAATAAAGTTGTTTGAATCTACCTGAATTGGGAGCGTACCATTAATAGAAAAGCTGTTCTTTTTGGAGAATTCCAAAACTAAGGATAAAGTAATGAAGCATTAACTCACTGGGAACAAGCTGTGCCTTTCTGGTGCAGGTCTGTGAAATGTTCAGCACCCTCAATGTCAGTAACTTCAGAAGGTCTCAAACCAACCTGGAAGGGAGATCCATGCGCATGGTCTAAAAAAGTAAACAGAGATCATATCAGAAAGGCCCAGATTTAAGGCTTGATATCCTTACTCCTACTGTTTCCCCAGCCTTTACAAACCCAGAGAAAATGAGACAGTGCTCTTGATGGCTTATAGACAGAGGTATGATTTGTACAAAAATTGGGGAAAAAGGAAGGGCAACCTGTTGCATTTTTTTCAATAGCAAAATCTAATATTCATTCCTGTAAAACAGGAAAAGCAGATTTGTTCCTCAGAAATTGGAAAACATCTACCTTGTTGTTATGAAAAGGGAATCTGTTTAGCTTACTAAGTACATTTGACATAAGGCTAATTATTTTTGTTATAAAATCCTAATGATCTCGGTGGTAGACTGGAAGCCTACCCTAGTAGACACTGTCCAGAAGCCCTGCCCCAAGAAAGAGCCCCAGGAAAGCAAACCAGTGGCAAACAGCTCTGCAAAACGGGACTCGGCTCACGGCAGAAATCCTTACACAAGCCTCAGCCCCCTGGTAGGCCCTCCCTTCCCTAAAGTCTGAATAAATAGAGATGCCTTTCAGGATGTCTGGAAGGTCAGTGAGCTGTTCAGGCAGGAGAGCAGCAAGTTTCTATAGTCAAGGACACTTCCCCCCTTGTGCTTCCCCTCCCTGTGGGCACCCTCCCGTTCCTTTTTTTTACACTAACGACAGACGGATGAGAGTACCTGAGGACATTATAGTAGGGTTTTGTTGGTGCTCATGGGACATTTAGCATTAACTAGTAGAAATCCACAATTATCACAATTTCTCAGACACTTTACTAAAACACGAACATTCTTGGTTTCCTCTGGTGCTGCTGCTGCTGCTGACCTTAACCAGAAGTTCACCTAAACTGAAAAATAATTGAATAAACCACCAGTGCTGGAAAATGATTAGCCCAATTAATTATTTTGTAGGCTGGAGAAATGGTTTCACTGTTAATTTAAGGCTCCTGGTTTGATTGAATTATACAGAATTAACTTTGTTGAATGAAGCCATCACTGGGAGCCGAGGAGATGGACGTTCAGTGAAAATAGCTAAAATTTCTGCTAGCAATGAGGGGTTCGGTGTCATCTGAAATGAACCGAATGGTTGAACATTGATAAATGATAAATAATGCTGGGAGGACTTCAGTTGGAAATCATAGGGCTGTTTCTGACTTGTTGGAAAAAAGTAACTGCTAGCTTTCTGAGATTATAGGATTAAACTGTATCAGTACTTTAAATGTGACTCATGAACAGGGGCTTTCTGAAGAGAATTACATAAATTTCCCAAGGTCTTTCTGAATAACAAGTTGTTCCAAATAATTTCCTCATCTTTAATAACTATGGGTGAAATCCTGGCCCCACTGAGGTCAACAGAAAAAGTCCTTTTGATTTCACTGGGTTCAGGATTTTACCCCCAGACTCTCGGAAATCTTCAGCTCTTCTGTGGTGACTGGGTGAGGAAGAAGAGAGGAAGTCTCTGCAGCTGGACATGGCATTTTCTACCAACTGGCAATTCGCTGTCCTTACATTTTTATATTTACCTCACTTAGTGATGAAGCAGGTTCTACTCTCATTTGCAGCAGTGTGGATTTACAGTGTATTTTTAGATATCTCTGAGCAAAATCTATCTTCTTGTCAAGGCACGTGACCCCAGACATTTCTTGCTGGGTAACAGAAGTAGCGTACGGGGAACTATGCAATTCTGGGTTGACCATGTGGAAATTTAACTTACCCACACTACTACCCTGAGGCAACTATTTGCCTACCTGCACTAAGTTAATTACAATTGACTTTGCTATAATTATTACAGTTCTAATCAAGAGTAGATAACACACACTGTAATTACCCGTATAGCTATTAAGAAAACCCCAAAACCTACACACCAAAGAAAGCTGGAAAACCAACATGGTAAATCCAATTTAACACAAGTCACTTTATGAATAAGGGAAGTAATACAACCTGTTTTCCTATGGATTTGCACCTTTTGTCCCTTGGGCCACCCACAAAAAATGCTCAGCTTTCTTCCAGACCTCTCATTTCACCTCTTCTGGGTGAGAGATGGTTTGTGTCAGGCAGAGCTGTGTGCATTGGCTAGCTAGGTTGCCCACGATGTTAGGATGTCTGCCTGCTGAGTTTTGCCTCTTTCTCCCTCAGTGGGGTCACCAATTTTCACAAAGCACATAGAGGGCCTCTCTCCCTCCAAAACTGGCTCAAGAATTAATAAGAATGACTAAAAAGAGGAAAGTAGAGAGCATTGTCAGGTAGGTTCATTTTCTTGGGAAAACTACTAGAAAAGAGATTCCTCCATGGGTGTCCATTTGCATAATTCCCCTGAAGTCTCTTCAGTCACGCTGTTGTATATCAGCAGGAGATCTGACCATAAATATTTAAGAATTTCAAACCTCTTGTTGAGGGCACATGAGGACAGTTTCAGATTTTACAAGAGCAAAGGAATGAAACAAATGGCTTCATGTTTTTCATGACTCAATCCCTCCAACTCAGCCTGTGCTTTGAAGCCCCGGAGTGTGTATAGACTTTTACCTTTGTGCCGGCTCTTATTGTGAACTGTTTTTCAGGAGCTTATAGCCAGATCTACAACTCTGTGTAAAACTGAGCATGATAATTTGGTGACAGATTCTGTCTTGGTTAGCAGACTTCAGTTCCTAGTAGAACTCTTTGAGCTTTGCCTAAATGTAGTTGAGATCAAGGTATGCTCTGTCCATTTGAAGCTGGAATTTTGTGGTGGTATTGCTCCGAGGATGGAGATACTCTTAAACTCCTTCTGTGCTTTAAATAATAATAATATTTCTTTCTTTTCTGATTTTTGTTTCTTGTTCTCCTTTTCTTCCTATTAACTCGATTCTCATTTGCTACATATTACCAGTTTAAAACTTAGAAGTATACATACATATACAGAAATTTTTTTCTATATTAAGTTTCAGAAAGACCTAGATATTGTGCGATGCACTAATACTATTATTATTTTTAAATACCAACTTGAAGTTAACCTAAAGTAGAAGTTTTTACTAGTGACCAACTTCTTAACTGCTTGACTCTGGTGAGAGATTGGGGTAGACAGGGAATGGGGACTGAAGCAATGCAAGAAAGACAGTATTATTTCACATTATAAAATATACCTCTAGGAGATATCATTTGTCTTTCTAAAGTTGTTGAAAGACTATTATTATTATCTCTTTTTACCTTTCAGCAAAATGATGGTCCAACACTCAGGCCAGGTATCTGCATTAGAAGTCAGCGCCTCCGCAATTGTTCCCACTTTGTCCCCTGCAGGGTCACTGGGGTTTGATGATTTCACAAATTTAACCCCACTGGTGAAAGAGGAACTGAGGTTTGCCATTCAGAATAAGCGTCAGTCCCACAGGATGTCTTCTACATTGGACACGGTGACAGTTTCTGAAAGGCCAATTGAAACATCCATCATGAAAACAGAGGTATGACTCTTTAAATAGCATTTCAGTGTGAATGATTAATTCTCTAATACAGTTTCACCATGAGACCAGTAATTATATCAACTATAGACAACCTTCCCTTCTGCACCATATTTGATCCTTTTAAGTCTGTTGCTTGGCTTTCTGTTAAGTGCTTGTGGGAAACCCTCTGGTATTTTTCACTTCCACTGAGACCTATAGTTGGATATTTTATTTTTGATTATGGACCAAGGACAATGTTTTACAGTGATTAGAGCAAGCGCTAATCTGGTTTCCCTGCCTACTTGTGGCTGAACTTGGAATAAGTCACTGCAGCTTTACTTCAGTGAGGACAGTGCAGTAGGACCCATGTGGGCTACACTGAGGTAGACACGGCCGTGCTATGTCCACACTAGGTTTTTACTTTAAGATAATAGTCTCCGTGAAAAACGTTTCTCTTATAAAGTGGACAAATAGCTTAACTTGGGGAAATAGCTACACCTTGGTCTGAGCCTCTACAGGAAACAAAGCAAAGTGTTAACATCCCCTTTTCGGCGCTGCCTTTAATTCGCTGCACTCTCAATGCCTCGTTCATGCCACATCCTCCGCTCTGCTCCCTGTGCCCCTCGCTCCTTTTCCTCCTTGGGAAATGGAGGAGAGATGGAGGTGTGGGAGTCAGCCTGGGGAGACGCTCGGCAAGTTTTTTGAGTACCTTTGATTTAAAATGAGCCATCACATGGATTACATCCATCCAAACTCCAGTCAGGTTTTTATTGACAATTCTAATGGAGTTACTACCATTTTACTGTATGGCAAGCAAGGTCAAAATCGCATCCTTATGTAACTCATGATGTGAGCACTGACAACGCTATCCATGCTGCTTTTAAAAATGCGGAAGTTATCAAAATACAGGTCGAGTATTTACGACATCTTACGGATTGTGTCTATCTGTTTTTATGGGAAAGTTTTCTCCTGAAGAGGATGAAAGAAAAAAGCGGAGAAGGGAAAGGAACAAAATTGCTGCTGCAAAGTGTCGAAACAAAAAGAAGGAAAAAACAGAATGTTTGCAGAAAGTAAGTGACTGGCTTGAATTGTTCTTAATCTGTCATCCTGCCAGGATCTGAACTGACAGCACAGGGGCACGGTGATAGTAGGAAATACAGAAAGGCGTCACCCAAAATTCTGTAAACCTGTCAAAACATTAGTTATAAAAAAATGAACATGCTATATATTAAATCAAACCTGGTTAAAACTGGAAAAAAGTGAAGGCATGGTAGGAGTGAAAAGAGATTACTGTTTCAGTGACCAATCCCGTCTATGGGGATAATATGAATTTGAATGTGTACATTGAACACAAAAAGAAGTAAAATCTCATTTCATATAATATCCATTGTGGAGACCAAGAGCCTACAAACACCAACAAGTAATCTCTGACTTCTTTATTAAATGAGTGGCATAGTAGCTTAGCCCTGAATTCTCTGTCCTAAGACCCCAGTAGTGTCTTCACCTGCTCTGCCATGACATAAAACTATATTACAGCAGCATCAGGCCTGTCTTTGTTTCTATATCCAGGGGTGGTGGTGGGGGAAAAGCTATGTCCTTACTTTGTTAGCTTAACGTGGGCTTACAGATATGTAATATGATGTTCCAGGGAAATAATAAGAAGCGTAGATAATTTTGGGTCAATTTTTGACCCAAAAAGTTCAGAATAATTTTGCAGAAGATAGCAATAATGCTTTGGATATCTGTCATTGTAAGTGAACACAAGTCTGAATTTGGCTTTTCAACTTCCGTTACACTTCTTTAAAGGTCAAAGAAGGTAACTACCAATCTGGTTTTTTAGACTATTATCGATGGGGGGATGTATAGTTTCATCATTACAGGACACTAAGAACATGCAGTTTCTTTCTCTGCTAGCCATATGCTTTTCCACCAGTAAAACAGTGCAACTATTAGATAAACATTGCCATTAACTATTTGAACTACTCAGACTAATAGTTGTGTCTGTTCTTTGTGACTAGGAGTCAGAAAAGCTGGAAACTATCAATGCAGAATTAAAAGCCCAGATTGAAGAGCTAAAGAATGAGAAGCAGCATTTGATATACATGCTAAATCTTCACAGGCCCACTTGTATAGTTCGGGCACAAAACGGAAGGACACCTGAAGATGAAAGGAATCTTTTTATTCAACAGATCAAAGAAGGCACATTACAAGGTTAAGTGATACGGCAAACATGGAAATATTTATAGTGTTTTTAACAACTACCAGAATCCATGGAGGATCTGACATAATGTGTAGGATTCTATTAGTCAAGAGCCTTTAGGAAGGGCAGATTGCTTTCTTAAGAGGAAAGAATCATTTTGGCTTGACAGCGATTCTTCCCCTTGGAAGATCTGGTCTCAATCAAATTGAAGAGTCTTCTGCCTCAAATATAGGTTTTGCACCTGTCATACTTGCTGTTCCTAGGAGCTACAGACAACAGCTTCAGAAGTTTTAGCTCTCTGCTAGTATACAGTATCTGCACTCAGACGTTTGTGCTAGAACACTATGACTTCTGATGATGCACATGGTACAGACAGCTGTGCTGGATGGACACTACTTTTCCTTGTTGCTGGTAGGGAAAGTTTTTAAAGTTTTGAAGTTTCCAGGAGGATGGTTTCTGGCAGAATGTACTGATACGTAATGTTGCATTCTAACCTAACACACACATACACAAACACACAAAAAGCCTTTAGTTCCAACTAAGCTTTGTCATTTTTTTCACAACACCTGTGTGGGTTTTTTCAATAACTCATCTCAGAGACTGAATTTGAAAAGCCTAGTAGGTGTGATAAAGAAATGTTTCTTGCAAAATGTCCATGTAGCTAAGTTTGTATTTTATGAGCTGGAACCCCACCTACTGTCCTTTGGGGACTACAATTTTTCCTTGGATTGCTGAAGAGCAGCTTGTACCACCACTTGATGACTCAGTGAACTGGACCCACTGGAAAGAGGAAACTAACTATGGAGGGATATTGATAGAGGTTTTGCCTGAGTAAAGAAGTGCAGTTCCGAATCCCCGGCTCATGAATCACGAAAAGTTTAAAAAAAAAAAAAAAAATTCATCTAGGATCTAATCCTACAGGCCTTAAATCATGTTATTAACCCTCACTCACAGAAGTTGTTCCACGGACTTCAGTGGGTCTGCTTATGCAGATAGCTCTTACAAGTGTAAGAGCTTGACAAAGCTTTTTCCATCCTGGTCAGGATTACTTCCTTTTGCCAGGTGATTCAGAGGGAAAAATTATGATTGTAGCTACTTTTATTTTACGTTTGGGTGGCAAGTACAGTCAATCAAAAGTGTTACTTAGAATCTAAAGGAGGCAAGAGTTTTGATAATTGTTTTTATTTTTTATTAAATACTAACTGTAGATGTTTTTGAACTGATAGAAGAGCTGCTGGACAAAACAGTTGGAGTTATGAGTGCTTAAATTCTGATGTTTCTGTGAAATTCTCAGATTGTTTAATCGTATAAAATATATCCTTAAAATTTTTTGTAAAAGAACATATTATCCTTATTTATCACTAATATCGAAATGAGTGAAGTTAATAAATACTGCGAGCAAGATAAAACTGAAAACACAAGTGTTGCGCTGTCTTTTTACTTTTATCTCTTGGTGTTCAATATTATATATTCCTAAACTTCACCGGTTGTATTTGAGACACCACTGTTGAAAACACTTATCCTTCATCTTTTCCACAGATGAGGCACTGAGAATCTTGAATGATTGGATCCAGAGATTGCACCTTCCAAAATTCTGTACTTCCATTAGTGGTGTCTAGCTGCTCAATGTCACAATTCAAGTGAAGCAGACAGTAAGAATGGAGCTTACAGTACATAATATTTTACACCGATTACGCAGTGTTGAAATTGTGTTTTTGTTCTAAAGGCTAAAATTAAAGATACCTCAGCCATAAGCTTCTTACCCTACAAGTCCCGGATGAGTCTATCAGATATCATACCTGATCCTTATATGATCGTTATATTCTGCAACAGAACTCCTTAGTACATTTTCCTAAGATCTGGATATATTGTAATGTCCTATATCACGTTTTAAAGATATGTACTTCATGTATCTGAAAAGTGAATGTATTACAAAGATGACATACAAGGTCCGATTCTGACCTGAGAATCCATTGTCTTTCTGTATGTTGGAAGGAGCTTCCATTGACTTCAGTGAGAGTTTTATTCTGTCCAGTAGGCAGAGTTTGGAGCCCCTGCTGCGACTTCCCTGGCTTAGAGGGCAAGTTCCACAGGCAGTTGGGCCAGCTGTTTATCAGAGAATGGATATACATGATGTGTGTTACAATAAACTTGTCAAACTATGTTCATTGGTATTTGACATCCGTAACGTGGAAATACAAAACCAAGGCATCATCCCAGTATCGTACACCGTGGCTTTGCCTTTTGCGCATCAAATACCAGCAGACAAAACTGTTTGCCTCCTATACTGTCATAAAGTGTTACCACAGAGACTAGACTATAATGACAGAATTCATGTGTCTCCCTTAGGGAATTTGTATGGTTGCTTTTAATCGTATCACTGGTGACGCAGGCGTCATGCTTTTGTTGCTTGATGTTATTTACTTAGCATGCCAAATGTTAATATGGTACCACTACTATTGTCAGAAGATAATCTATTTTTATTTCTTTATATGTGCAGTCATAGCTGCTTTCTACTGCTTGTACGTGTGTGTGTGCACGCGTGCTCCTGCACGCTACTCTAGAAGTGATGGTACTCGAGTTCATTTGACTGTGCCCAGGAAAAAAAATGTTTAAACAGCTAGACAGGAGCAGTATGTTGCATGAGTTTTCTAAAAGTATACGTTATTCAGGAGAACCTTTAAAATGCATTAAAAGCAGTTTGTTTTCTATTCTCAAGTTTGTTTTGATACTTTAATAAAAAAAAAATTAATATATATTTACTATGTGTCATTTAATTTATTCTAAGTTTCAAGGTCCAGGAGCAACTTCATTTTCTTAAAACAACAGTGAGATATTAAAAAAGCAAACACGTTTTGTAGGTTTGCAACAGTAAGTGTCTTATAAAGTGAAATTGGTACGGTTCACTGCTTGTCAAGGTATGAACAAAGTTTTGTTATTTCAAGGTTGATCATGAATTCCAGGCTAATTTCTTATTTGTGGCCTAGGGCTTTGATTAAAGGACTGGAAATTAGAACTCCTGAACCTTTCCTAACCTTGCAACCAACCAGCTGATAGTTATTTCAGCTTTCTGATTACCTAATGGGTTTAATGCTTTTGCTGCTGTGAAGCTTTAATATTTATAGATTGCTTTCTATGGTTACATGGAAGACCCTAAAGAACTATAGCATGGTTAGGGCTTTGGTTTGTTTGTGTATGTGTCTGTGTGTTGGTGTGTGTGCATGTGTGTGTATGCGGGTGTGTGCGTGGAGAAGCATGAGGAAAGATGAACAAAATGTTCTATCCTGCCTTTCCAAAACTAAGTATCTACACCCAGACAGAAGTCCCTGTGTTTTGACAGCCGGTGATGTGGATGAAAACTTTTGGCTTCAATCCTTTGCAAGCAGTCATAACTTGTAATACAGAGGTCAGCTAGAAGGCCAGGAGCTCCAGGGACCAGGAAATCCATTGCACTATTGCAAAATCTAGTTAAAAATACCAGCTGGAAGGAAAATCTAGGCTACTATGAGCCTGGCAATGCGGAATGTTTACTTTCCTTATTGGTACATCCATTTACAGATGTGCAGTCCCAGTACGTATATTCACCCTTTCATGCATTCTCCTATAGCTGCTATCAAATTTTACTTTTGAATATCTGATTCACTTTTAATTTCGTAAATTTATAAATCATATGCCTGGCCTGTTTTAGAAAACCTTATCAACAAGATTAGGACTATGAATTCCTGAACTGGTATTTTATAATGTTTTCTTTAAATGGTATGAGTTGAAACTATGAAACCACCATTGGTCTCTATGACATATCCCTAATAGCGTAATTGATATTCCTTGAACAAAATAATCATAGAATCATAAAATCACAGAATCACTAAGGTTGGAAAAGACCTCTAAGGTCATCGAGTCCAACCGTTAACCCAACACCACCATGCCCACTAAACCATGTCCCTAAGCGCCTCATCTACACATCTTTTAAATACTTCCAGGGATGGTGACTCCACCACTTCCCTGGGCAGCCTGTTCCAAGGCCTGACCACTCTTTCAGTAAAGAAATTTTTCCTAATGTCCAATCTAAACCTCCCTTCGAGGGAGATATGTCATATATTCTCCTTAGGTCTTGTTTTAGATGCTAAATCTGTGTGTGTACAGGCCCATGCAGACCTTAAAGCATGCTGGGCTTTACACTGTACAATAATAAGGAGCAACTTCTACTTTTTTCTAGCCCTTTCCTTGATGTAAATGAATAAATAGCAATATTAAAGGTAGGTAGAGCCAATGATTTATGCTAGGCTGGAAACACTTAATGAAACTGAATGGTAACAAATTTAAATTTACAATAACTTTTCTACTGGGCCCACTAGAATTTTAAGTTATTGAAAAGTTTTAAGTTTTAAAAATCACTGATTCTTAGTTTTGCAAAAGAAACTGGAGGATTTATGGGTAATGAAAAAAAAACAGTACAATTATTTGTTACTAACAAAAGTGTTTTGATAATGAAATCTACTTAATCTTAAAAAATTCCTAAATCCAGAATGATAACTGTATCTCACATCCATTTTTCCTGGGTTTTGTTGTTGGGTATTTTTGTTGGTGGTGGGTTTTGTTGTTTGGTGTCCCCCCCCCGCCTTCAGCAGAATACCGGACTAGGTACAAGCCTCATTCACGCTGGCCATTGCCATGTTTCTATGTTTGCCCAGTGCCCCCAACTGGAGACCCCGAGAATCACATGATTAAAATATGCAATAATATTAATTTACATAAGTACTTAGTAACATTCTTCACTAGTTTGTAATGACATCAGTATAATATTTTCATTTCTATAATAGACATCATTCCTTTTTAAAGTGTAGTTAAGATAAAGAGTGACAATATTTTAAAAATATCCTGTTACTCAAAGTTCATTTCCTTAGTGGACACTCTGAGTCAGAACTGCTGACTTTAGTAATAAAAATAGTTATTTACTAATTTTCAGTGCTATTAGATCTTCAAAGCCATCACAGTTAAAAGAGAATACACTGGAGTCTATTCTTGATACAGCATCAGTTCTGGCTGCATATCTTTACTAATTGCTGACAGTGATGCATGAACAAAAAAAAAAAAAAATGATGATTTTCAGCCCCCAAGCTAAGCGCACTGGAGCTGACACTCAGAAAAGTTATTAGACCTGTAAAATGAATAAATAGAAAATGGAAACAAACTGAGAGTTGAAGCTGGAATCCTTTTTTTCTGCTTTTGAGAATTTAGCAACTTCATATTTGTAGACTCCACCAAAATAATTGGTGCACCACCATGCCCCCTTAGACAGTGGGTATGCCCACACAGCAAATAGCAGTGTAGTATGGCAATACTTTTCTATAAGCTAGCTTAGTACTGGGAACATCCCAGTGATGACAGCAAGAAACTCAGCACAGGCTAATTGATGCCACTGAGAGGATGAGCTCTCTGTGCAGCCAGAGGACAGGCTGCTACTGGCATCTGAGGTAGCTCATTTAAAG